TTGGTCCATCCTACCCATCACTTTCATTATTGATTTTAGGGGTGTCAATATTTGACACGGCACGCTAACACAATACGAGATAAGAAGGTTTGAGTTTGAATTCATCGTGTTCGTATCGTAATCGTGTCGACACAAATTAATCCGCTAACTAAACGTGTCGTGTTCGTATTTGACCCTATAAACACGATTATGACACAAATAACTCGATTAACTAAATGTGTTAGATAAAAATATCTGTGTTCGTGTAAAAAATAACTTAAACGTGTTTTTTTTGTGTCTTGTCAAGTTTTGATCTATTTATTAAACATGTTATGCGTGTCATGTCGTATTCGTGTTGAGGGTCTAAGACATGGTTAATAATCGTATCGTGTTTATGTCGACCCTAATCGTGTTCGTGTCGTAATCGTGTCGACACGAAGATCACTCGCCAACACAAATTGTTACCCCTGACTCATTTGGAGAGAAACGAAAGTCTCCATACGTCTGATGGTAATGGTCATCCCTAGAATGGAGAAATTTTAAAGCCCACTCAAAACTTTTATCTAGAAGAAAAATAAAAAATAAAAAAATTCAAGTAATAATAAATTGTCTTAGAGAAAGTTGTTAAACTTGGTATACTATTGAAGAAATCTTATAAATTTATAAAATTCATCCATGTGGTTATGGTTTTATTTGGTTCTACTTTCTTCTTCAATATATATATTTTTGAGTAGGTTTTCAAAATATTATTTCTTGTGTCGTTGAATCAATGTATCAATATTTATTTTAGTATTTGAATTTATCCACAGGGAATGATATGTTGACACAATTCCTGAGTAGATTAAAGGGGAGAAATATACTTTTGAGTTATGTTAAATTAGTAGTGATATAGAAGTATTTGAGTTGAAATAAACTTTAAATCAACAAATAAAACATGCATTTCATTAATACGAGAGAGAAGGTGAATGAGTTGGAATTCAACCGTCCTTATTTCGTGAAAGAAGGATAATTATGGTATTAAAATGTAGAAATCAATGTTGTGGTCTGTAATTTCATTTTAAGAAAAAAAAAAAATTAGAGAAGATATTGATGGAGTAAAATGGCCCAAGTAAAGAAGAACGTTGTAAGGTAAACTTGTCTCATCAAATTTAGAGGAAAGTGAATAGGGTTTATATGGGATAGACTTGTCTCACATTATATTCGAATGAAAAAATAAATAAATATATATAGACTGAATATTAACCAACCTAATGTTAAAAATTAGAGTGTGGTGGTGAGCACATGATATATTATTGATTTGGTGAAACCATCAAAGCAATTCTTTTCACTTTAATTATTGATTTGGAGTAAAAATAATTTGAGAGATCCTAAAGGAAGGATGATAGATTCTATAATTTTTCAAGTTTTAGATAAATTTATTTTTTGGAGTCTATTAGAGTGACTACAAAATCATTCAATTTTTTTTGTAGTATTACTCGTATGGAAGTGAACTTATCACGTGGCATGTGCATTTGTTGTCCGACGAAATATGTATTGAAAATATTAGTCACTTTGTAACATTTATTTATATTTTTGTTGCGTGTTTTATGTTACGGGCGGAGTATACTGTTGCGAAACAAAATACAGTAACAAATAAGAAATATAGGTGTGTCTAGTAACATTTTTATTTTTTGTTTTTGTAATCTTAAAATAACAGAAACATGATTTTATTTTTTTGAGTGAAAATAGAAAGCAGAAACAATAAGAGTGTTTAATAATACATAATTGTTACAAAATGTACATTTTTTAAACTTTTTATTTTATTTTATTGAATTTTAGGAGTTAGTGATTAGAGCGGAGGGGGAAGGGGAGGGTAGATGACTTGAATACGGACTCTCGGACATAGGGAGCAACGCAACCACTCTAGCACAAAAACCATAAATCTACAAAATCCAATTTAAAATTACAAATCTTAATAATACCCGATACATCACAAGTACAAAATTAGATATACGAAAATAAAAACACTCCCACCAATTATGAATATAAATACATGTATATGCACAAGTATACATTTATTATGTGATATATAATATATTTAGCATATGATAATTTATTATGAATAAAAAAATATTAAATAATATATTTTATATGTAATAAATATATATTCTATTACAATATTGTAAATAAATTATAATTTAATATTTACATATAATATAATATAGATATGGTATATAACAATATAAAATATCTACTGTATAATAATTTAATAACATTATATTCTATATCAAAAATTATTTTGCCACAAAAAATAATTTACTTTATTATATAATATATTATATATTAAGATATATTTTTATCAAATAAAAAATAATGTACAATATTTAATATATTCTATATTAAAAAATATATATTTTCATTAATATTTAATATGCAACTTAGTATATAACACAAATAATATGAATTTTATTTAAAATGAATAGTGCATGTGTAGTAACAATAGTGAAAACGTTTCTGTGCTACAGTGCTAGAAATATAAGAAACATCTTTTTATGTTTCCTTTTTTCTTCACAAAAATTGAAAACGTTTTATGTTATAGAAAAACAAAAACATATTATTGAGTACGATTTTTGTTTTCGTTTTGCTTTTTAAGTGACTGACAATAGAAAATAAGAAATGTTTCTCGTTACTAAACGCAGCCAAATTAATGTTTTCTAAATATTTTTCACTGTAGCAAAAACAATACAGCGGTTAACAGCATTTAAAAAAAAAAAATTACTTACACACGCATACTAATATCTGATTTTTTTAACTAACCACTTTGTTACTCAATCAAACATATTGGGATTGGGCACAATATGAAAGATGCAATAATTGTACATAGTTTTTAGTACTCCCTCAGTCCCAAAATATGACTCACAATTTTGTGAGTCATAATTCTCAATGTGGATAGCTATTTTGAAATAGAAGGAGTAGGGATGCACAAGGTCCGATTTGGTCCGGTTTTTAGAATTTTTGGAACCAAATCACTCCCTATGGATCCAAAAAATTTGGTTCCAAAAATTTTGAAACCGTGAAGAAATGGTTTGGTTTGGTTCGGCTCCTACGGTTTTAGTTGAATTTTTTTTCCTTGAATTGTATATACAACAAAAATAACAATAAAAACATTCAGATTCCCGAATCAAAAACTAAAATAGAGAGAGAAAAATAGGAGAAAGTTAGTGAAATAGACCCAAAAGCTAAAACCTATAAATTAAAATAAAGTTGAATGTTGCTGAAATTGGAAAAGATGATAAATTCGTGGTTGAAAACTAAGAAACTTGATTCGTTGTCATTGTTGGTTGTGCTTGAGGAGTAAACACGCCGTGAGACTTAGAACTAAAAGTGAGAGTGAAAGGGGGAGAATGTGAAAAAGGATGTCACCGACGATAGTGATAAAAGATTGACAGTGATCACCGAACTTTGAAGGATGCGTGAGAGAGATTGATCAACAACTGAATCCCGTGGCGATGAGACCTAAAAAGTGAATAAGGCGGTAAGGGTGTTCAAAAAATCCGACAAACTGAACCGGACCGAACTGAATTGGATGGTTTGAGCTAGTTGTAAAGTGGTTTGGTCCGGTCTTGGGCCCAAGATTATGAAACCGTAATTTTACGGTCGGCTCTTGGTTTGGGATCCTGCTGGACCGGCCCAGCCCGGATTGAACCGTTATATAGCTTATATTATAAATAAATAAATAAATATATATATATATATATATTATATTTATAGAAATGATATAACTTATAGTTTTGGCTAAACATATTCTTAAATTTTCTCGGGCCATGATGAAAGCTAGCAAAGAGAGAGAAAGAAAACGAAATGATGGGCCATAATAAATAAAATATCATATGAAAATTACCAAACAATAAAAACTACACAATCAAAAATAAAGCATAACCATTATGGACTAGAGGAGATTATTGGTTCTTTAAATACTAAAGTGGAAGAGTAGTATATAATAAATATATATACTGAATTGTCGGTTCCCTGTTGATGTATTATATTGAAGGAAAAATAAGAAATTATGTTTTTAAAAAATAAAATAAAAAGGAAATCAACTAAAACCGACAAACCGAACCGAACCGAACCAAACTGATTTTTCGTGGTTTGGTTTGGTTCGGTTCCATGGGCATTATAGTTCGGTTTGGTTTCAGAAATAGTGAAACCGTTATAAATGGTTTGGTCCCAAAAAAAAACTTTCAATCTGATCCAAACCAGACCGTGTGCACCCCTATAAGGCGGCGTGAGCAAAGAAAAAAAATGAGATAATGGAGAAATGTTGGCAGGCACTCAAAAATCCAAACATCGGGAGTAGCAAAAGTGTATATATATATATATATATACACACACACACATTATAACGGTTCGGTCGATCCGGTCCTATAAGACCCTAATTCAAAATCGAACAAAAAATTCATAGTTTTATTATTTTTGAACCGTAACTGAACCGAACCACTGTAGAATCGTCCCAAATAGGGATGGCAGATTCCCCATCCCCGTCGGGGGCGGGACCCTGTTTATAGCGGGGATGGGGATCCTTTTAGTTAAACGGGGATGAGAATGGGGGCAAATTATGAATCCCCGCCGGAGCCGGGACCGGAGGCGGGGATGGGGTAAACCCGCCTCACCCCACCCCGATTAAGTGTGAAGTTATTAATATACCCTTACATATAATAATTTATTACTAAATTAGATTTATTATATATATGAAAATAAGAAAAAAAAAATATATTTTTTTTTAATAAAAAAAATTATAAGGGCAAGGACGGGGATAAGGTGTTGGGGGCGGGGGCTGGGGCGGGTATGGGGATTCTGGCAAAATTTTAAGCGGGAATGGAAAATAAAAAATGCATCGGAGATGGGGATGAGGAATGGAATCCCCGTCCTATCCCGTCCCGTTGCCATCCCTAGTCCCAAACTGTCCTATCCAATCCGGTATGAATTTTTGGATTGACAAGTTTTTGGCACACCCTTATGAGGGAGTATCTGATCTGGAAGCTATGGTGGCTAGGAAGTACTACTAGCTTCGGCTGTAAGCTTTACTCTAGTTTGGCGGCAGGTCTTTCAATTTGCCCTGCCATAGAGTAGGGCTGTCCATTTCTGCCCAAAAGAACCCTCCATCCACAATCAAATATGTCATAGAAAAATCACTTTCTCACCATAATTTGAACTCTTTTTTTTTTTTTTTTTTTTTTTTCAAATATGTTTTATTATTATTATTATTATTGACAAGCCATAACAACTCAAAAGACATATCCAGACCTACCTAATCCTGATTGATGAAGGAAGAAACATTTTTAATAAGAGCCAAAGCCTTCTCAGTGGTTGGACTGAACAGGTGGAACAAATGTTCCTCTCTTGTAGTCTCCACAATCTCCACCGTCCCTTTCCACCCACTCTTTTTCAACCTCTTATAATAATCTCCACCCACTTCTCTCAGATGATCATTCTCAGCAAGCAACACCAACACCCTCTCACACCCTAACCTAGCCAAATCCCTTGCTACCGGTCTCAGCCTTGGATCTTCCAACCCACCATTCCCCGGACACATGTACAGCCACATCTCGTCATCATCTTCCCTACCTCCAAAGAACGGGTGAATCATAACCGCCCGAACGACCCGTACTCCGAGTAACCCTATTGACCCGACCCGGGTTAACAATGTGTTGGAAATGTTCCCCCCTCCACTATCTCCACCTATGAATACCCGATCAAGATCCGCGTGCTTGTTGATCCATGGGTCGGGACCCTTTCCATTAGCTTGGGACGCAACCCACTGGAGCGCTTCCCAACAGTCCTCGTAGCAGGCGGGTATCAGGTGCTCTGGGGCTAGCCTGTACTCCACTGAGATGGCGATAGCATTGGCCTCCGCGGCAATGGCTCTGATGTGGGGGTGGTAAAGGGGAGAGAAAGTGGACTCGAAGGAGAATCCGCCTCCGTGGATGTAGAAGAGGAAGGGAAGCCTCTGGGACGGGTCGGATAGTCGGGGCAGAAAGATCCGAGCAGATATTTCTGGTTCGGACGAGATAATGACATCTTTGGATTGAACACCGGTGATGAAGTCGTCGGACGGCGGGATTTTTTGGGTGGGCCAAAAGAACTTCTCGACGCAGCCGTCTTTGTACACCCTGAAGAACTGGAATTCATGGGCCACCTCTAGATTTGCTGAGTCCATGGCAAGAGCAATTAAGATGAGGAAGAATTATAAGAATCTCTGGAGATACAATGGGAGGCTATACAGTTTGTGCTTGGATTACTTATGTGTGTATACATATATACATATATAGAGAGAGAGAGTGAGAGAGAACTAAGCACTCTTCCTTGTTTACATAATGATTCCTTTGGTATTGTATAAAATGCTTTCTTAGAGCATCTTCAACCCTAAAATGCTAAATTCCGACGCCAAATTTATATTTTGATAGTGCTACAGTGTCAAAATGTTATATTTTAGCAATTATGCTCTAATGGTGTATTTCATGCAAGATGCTATTTTTTTATGCAACCACCATTTTTTTTCAACTACCATTCCCACCATGCAAAGCTCCAATTTTTTTTTGAAGCAACTCAATCCATACCATCAGTTAATATCACTGAGTTGTTGATAGTGTGTTGGAAGCTTCAAGTTGTAAAAAACATTTTAAAAGAAACAAAAATTAAACTGCTAATGCAAATGCTTTTATTTAAATTATATTTGCTTATGATCTTCTTCTCTATCCTCATCATACAGAGAAGACATTGACCATTATAATTATTCATGCAACTGGTTTCAGACCTTCCCATTATAAAATGCACACCCATCTCAGAAACCAAAAACCAAACCAAGATTCATAGTACAGGACTACAAAAAAATAAAATAAACAATTTCTAATCAGACTTCTGAGTTATGAGTAATCCAAATCTGTTACTCGGAAACAGCAAATTTAAAAACTTTATGATTCGGTTCAGCCCCTGATCACTTATCATTTCAAATTCTCTCTTTTATTCTAGCCAAATCTTGAAGCTCTAAAAAAAAAAATACAGAACTGAGATAAGAAGATCCAAAAGATATTAACCCATATCAGATAACATTTTGATATAAAGAATACATAATGATAACGATATGGTGGTTTAGTGAAATTGAATGAACGTAGAAGATGTGCAGAAGTAGAGAGCGTTGTTTAAAAACATTAGGGAATATATAGTATATGTGTTGGGATTTATATGCCCTGGCATAGCAAATTCCTGTTTGGATTAATTGACATATGTTCCTGACGTTTCTGAAATATTTATGTTTTATACAATTGGTGAATTCAATGTATTATATTTCGATTCACTATGAAATTGATAGTGTCCATGTAATTACAAGAAATATTTATGTATATGTATGTGATGGCAATCAATGCATGATATATAAATAGTAATTATAAATTGTTCATAGTCGGTAATTATGGATGGACTCATAATTAATTAAGACTTGAACTAGATCCGCGTTAGGTTGAGATATATTGCGAGAGCCGTCGTATGCAATTACTCCCTATCACCGTCATGGCATTTGACTCTTAAGCATGAGAAAAGTATAGACTCTTTTATTAATTAATAATTACTTTGATTTGTTCGGCGGATTCTTCGGGATCCTTAGACCGACACTTCGGGTAGTTATGTAATTAATAGTTAGAGGGTTATATTTTCAATATTTGCATCATTGCTACTTGTATTTATTTTGTATTGATTATGGTTGATCACAAAGTAAATTCGAAGGCCTTCGTATGATTTTAGACAAAATGATTTATTATATATTTATTTATTAAATTATTATTTTTGTCGAACAAATGTTTTATTGTGATCGAGCCAGAAATAATCAAAGGCGCCAAAATAAATATATTAATTAAGTAGTCGGATTGATGGCATTATTTATCCGATAACTAATTATGCATAGAGGGGTCAAAGTGCAACATTGACTTAGAGGTTATTTATTATTGAATTGGAGTTCAATTAATTTCTTTTAGTGGAGTAGAAATTAATTTATGAATTAATTTAATTGGGTCCATGGACCGGGCCAATTATTAATTCATTGTAACCAATAAAATAATAGGCCCAATGGATTCTTACTCATAGCCCAACTTGATATTGGAATCATATTAGATTTGAGACATGTGAATTAGAGATTGAGAAGGATTAGTTGTTTCCTTTTCTTTACCTTTATGTTGCCTATAAATATACATGGTCTATGTATATTTTAGGGGTGATTTTGATGAGAAGGAAAAATGAATAAATTTTCTCTCTCTAGAAAATTAGGGTTTATGTTCTCATCTAATGGAGGCTCCCACAAGCCTAGTTTTCCAAGGTCATTCAAGGAGGCTTATGAGTGATTCCTAAAGGCAAGACCATTACCAAGAAGATGGAGATCCATGGAAAAGATGTCTAGCAAAAGGGATCTACAATAAGTGAGAACATTCACTTTAGAGGAGAGATCTGAGGTTTACTCAAACCTTGATGTAAGTATTCAATCTTTTAGTTGAATAATACATCATATTTTATTTTATTTTTTTGCATAAAACTTGTCTCTATGTGATGAATCAAGATCTATGAATTTAAATCCCTCGAAAAGTTTTTAAAACTAGCACGTTCATATATATTTTGATTGATGTATGTTGATGTATGATTTAATATGTTGATATATATTGATACATGATGATGTATGAATAATTGTGAATGAATGATGATGTATGGTTGGGCCATGGATGAAGCTTATAGGTTAAATTAATGTAATTTTATCTTTGGATGAATGTAATTAAGGCTTTGATTTAGCCGTTTGAAAGTTCAATGATGTAATTTATTTTTCCCATTGTATTTCAAGTTTTAAATATTTTTAAAGCCACGTAATCTTCGTCAAAGGATGCTATGAAGCTTCAAGAAGGTCCAAGAGGGTTAAATTAGGCTTCAGGAATTTTCTGGGATTTTTTAGAAATTTTTCGGAATTTTTCTAGAATTTTTTAAGGCCTAATTTAATTTCTGGAATTTTTCGGTAATTTTCCGGCGACTGGAGAGTTGTCGGCGGCAAGGTTTTGGCCGGAGATCAAGAGGGATTAATGGGAAATAACTGTTGGGAAATGTGCTAGTTTTAAAAACTTTTCGAGGGATTTAAATTCATAGATCTTGATTCATCACATAGAGACAAGTTTTATGCAAAAAAATAAAATAAAATATGATGTATTATTCAACTAAAAGATTGAATACTTACATCAAGGTTTGAGTAAACCTCAGATCTCTCCTCTAAAGTGAATGTTCTCACTTATTGTAGATTTCTTTTGCTAGACATCTTTTCCATGGATCTCCATCTTCTTGGTAATGGTCTTGCCTTTAGGAATCACTCATAATCCTCCTTGAATGACCTTGGAAAACTAGGCTTGTGGGAGCCTCCATTAGATGAGAACATAAACCCTAATTTTCTAGAGAGAGAAAATTTATTCCTTTTTCCTTCTCATCAAAATCACCCCTAAAATATACATAGACCATGTATATTTATAGGCAATATAAAGGTAAAGAAAAGGAAACAACTAATCCTTCTCAATCTCTAATTCACATGTCTCAAATCTAATATGATTCCAATATCAAGTTGGGCTATGAGTGAGAATCCATTGGGCCTATTATTTTATTGGCTACAATGAATTAATGATTGGCCCGGTCCATGGACCCAATTAAATTAATTCATAAATTAATTTCTACTCCACTAAAAGAAATTAATTGAACTCCAATTCAATAATAAATAACCTCTAAGTCAATGTTGCACTTTGACCCCTCTATGCATAATTAGTTATCGGATAAATAATGCCATCAATCCGACTACTTAATTAATATATTTATTTTGGCACCTTTGATTATTTCTGGCTCGATCACAATAAAACATTTGTTCGACAAAAATAATAATTTAATAAATAAATATATAATAAATCATTTTGTCTAAAATCATACGAAGGCCTTCGAATTTACTTTGTGATCAACCATAATCAATACAAAATAAATACAAGTAGCAATGATGCAAATATTGAAAATATAACCCTCTAACTATTAATTACATAACTACCCGAAGTGTCGGTCTAAGGATCCCGAAGAATCCGCCGAACAAATCAAAGTAATTATTAATTAATAAAAGAGTCTATACTTTTCTCATGCTTAAGAGTCAAATGCCATGACGGTGATAGGGAGTAATTGCATACAACGGCTCTCGCAATATATCTCAACCTAACGCGGATCCAGTTCAAGTCTTAATTAATTATGAGTCCATCCATAATTACCGACTATGAACAATTTATAATTACTATTTATATATCATGCATTGATTGCCATCACATACATATACATAAATATTTCTTGTAATTACATGGACACTATCAATTTCATAGTGAATCGAAATATAATACATTGAATTCACCAATTGTATAAAACATAAATATTTCAGAAACGTCAGGAACATATGTCAATTAATCCAAACAGGAATTTGCTATGCCAGGGCATATAAATCCCAACAGCTCCCACTTGCCCTCATAGCCAATTCAAATTGCACCTAACTCCAATGTTATCCAGATGATGACCAAAATTATTGATCAATGACACCTTTGATAATGGATCAACAAAGTTGTGTTCCAATGCAATGTTCTAGCTACAAGTACATTTTCTTGCCGGACAATATCATGTTGAACATGATACTTCCTCTTAGTGTATCTTGTTCCTCTATAGAACCTTAGGTCATTGGTTTGGACTACTTCTACACTATTATCGCAATATAGCTCGATAGGTAGGCTAGCATGCTCCACAACCTCTAAATCAGTGAGATCAAACCAATAGGCTTCTTTTGCCGCCTTTAAGGCTGCAATATATTCCACCTACAGGTTTGAGTCAGCAGTTAAAATCTGCTTAACAATCTACCAACTGATCTCCCTTCCATTAAGTGAACATACACTAAGTCATGAACCTCATAGTATCTACTTCTGATTGAAAATCAGAACTAGCATACCTGACTAGGACCATATCATCACATCCATAAATGAATATGATATCATTGGTTTTCCTTAGGTACTTAATGATATTTTTCACAATAGACCAGTTGTCAAGTCCAGTATTGGACTGATCTCTACTAACTATCCCTACTATGTAGCGAATGTCCTGTTTGGTATAGACCATGGCATATATGAGACT